ATGCAGAGCCGACCTGGGTCCCGGGACACTTAATTTCTGGTCATAAAATGTCTCCATACATTTAAATTAACTTGGAAAATGGTGGCAAATACAAAGACAAGAGAAAGAAAGTACCTGTAGATTCACCACCCCTGATAACCAATGCCTGCTGTTCTGTTTATATATTTTTTGTGTTCTTCCCCTTTTGATAGGCAGTTAGACACACACAAACAGAAAGGTGATGAGCCAGGTGCAGAGGTCACCGGGGCGGAAAGCCCCAGGTCCCTAGCAAAGGACAATTATAGGGTGGGACCTCGCCCCCAGGGTGACCTTTCCTCCCCTACCATCATATCGCTGGTCCTAAGGTTTGGACCCCCTGTCCTCTCCACCCTAGAGATAATATCTAGGCCTCAGTTGTATTTCAGCTCCAGGCCCAGAAAAGCAATAAAACCAGACAAGCCACAGCCAAGGCTGACCTCAGGACGAACTGCATTGAAGAAGGACCCTGGTGCCAGCCAATCAATCGATGGAGACCACAACCCTGAAAAGACACACCTGGAAAACTGCTGAATATTCTATGAAGATCTTCCCCTGGGACCTTCCCTAAAATCTCCAACCTAAAAACCCTTAGGACGGAGGACCCAGTGGGTCTCCCTCCGGGAGCACAGTGCCTTCCCTTCCCTTCCCCCTTCCCACCCACTAGGCACGTTACCCTGAGCTTCCCCGTCCCAAGTTCCTAGGGCCGCCGTTCCTTTGCCTTCATAACCTGCTTCCTAAGCCCATTACTTCTAGGAATTACTTCTTCTACCTCTGTGGTTTACCCAATCAATGCTCTCTTACAGTCTGGGTCTTAGCTCTGAATTCTTTCCCAGCCAGAACCTAAGCACCAAGGTTGCTGAACTCAGGGTTGGTGTGCCCCCACGGGTCAGACACCTGGTGCCATTCTTGCCGCCTACAACACCTTTATATGTAGGTTACATGTGTAGATCTACTGTTTTTGTATTGAATTTAAAATAAATGTACAATATATATTATATAGTATATGTATATATACTATATATTTTATATATATATTATATATATTACATGTATATGTAATATATATATCAGCCCTAGCCGGTTTGGCTCAATGGATTGAGTGTTGGCCTGGGGACTGAAGGGTCCCGGGTTTGAGTCCGGTCAAGAGCACATGCCAAGGGCACATGCCCCGGTTGCAGGGGACTTGCAGGAGGTGGCCAATTAATGATTCTCTCTCATCATTGATGTTTCTCTCCCTCTCACTTCCTCTTTGAAATCAATGAAAATATATTTTAAAAAACATTAAATGGCTGAAACCGGTTTGGCTCAGTGGATAGAGCGTCGGCCTGCAGACTGAAGGGTCCCAGGTTCAATTCCGGTCAAGGGCATGTACCTGGGTTGCGGGCACATCCCCAGTGGGAGATGTGCAGTAGGCAGCTGGTCGATGTTTCTCTCTCATCGATGTTACTGACTCTCTATCTCTCTCCCTTCCTCTCTGTAGAAAATCAATAAAATATATTTTGAAAAAAATTAAATGGTAAACTATTATTCATTTCCTAAAATGATTTTTAAGCATGATTTTAGATGACTGCATATATCTTACTAAGTATATTATGCAATAATTCATTTAATCCATCTCTATGGGGGGCAGACATTTATGTCATGTATGTCTCTGTCTTGAATAATATCATACTGAATGGATTGTTTTTCACATTTCTATGAAAAAAAAAAGAATGTGTCCTTAATGAGATCCCTAAAAAGGTAGTTACTGGGCTAAGGACCCACACTCTCTAAAGCAGTGGTTCTCAACCTTCTGGCCCTTTAAATACAGGTCCTTGTGTTGTGACCCAACCATACAATTATTTTCGTTGCTACTTCAAAACTGTAATGTTGCTACTGTTATGAATCATAATGTAAATATCTGATATGCAGGATGGTCTTAGGCGACTTCTGTGACCCACAGGTTGAGAACCACTGCTCTAAAGGCTCTAGATACTGATTACCATATCGCTTTACAAAGGACGGCACCAATTTGGGACCCATTAGAACTGCCTGTCTCAGCGCATTCTCCGAAGTAATGAGTGTTAATGTTTCCTTAAAAAAAAAAATTGGGGCAGGGCGGTGGAAGATGGGGGAGCAGGTTTGCCAGTTTGCCAGCCCAGTGTCGTATTCCGTCCTTGCGTGCTCAGGCCCAGCAGCCTATCCTGAGGTAGCCCTGTCTGCACGTGTGTTCTATTGGATGTTGCTGTGGCCCTGCGCCTGGGCCTTGGCTATGGGAGCCGAATCCGCTCCAGCAAATGTCAGCAGCAAGTGGTGTTACGTAGCCAAAGGTTCGATGGTGCGAGTGTAAGAAGGCCTGTGGCCCACTGGGGGGGTGGGGGTGGGGGGTTGACCTGTGTGAAGGAGCCAGGATTTGCCTGTGGGGCACTGGGAAATGTAGAAAGATAATAAGGCAGTTCTCTCTGTACATCAGGACAACACTAACCTCTCTCTGGCCCTGTAGTATTGTGATTGAAGGGGAGCAGAGTTTGCTACCCCAAAGTATGCCTCTTTGGGATATTAATTATTTTAGGCTGGCTAATTTTAAGAAAGAGCAGACGTGGGAGAAGCTGCGAAAACCAAGCAGAAGGGACCCTTAGTAAAGGACAGTTACCTTTGTCAGGGAAACCTCTGTCAGAGACTCCCTCACTGCACCAGCCTGCCTTCACCACCAAAGGAGAAGGCCTGGCCTCTTACATCTGCATCACCGGCTTACCTTGGACACTGTATTTTTCCTGGTCACACCGTGACAGAATCTGCACCCTCAACATCTTTTGTCTTTAGCTGAAGGTGGTATTTAAGGTGATTGCTAACGCCATCTTTCCGGGGTGTCTCCCATGGAGACAGGAGGCATGCATGTTATTAAACTTTAATGTGTTTCCCTGCTAATCTGTCTCATGTTAATGTGATTGTTGGTCCAGCCAGAAGAACCTTGAAAGGTAGAGGATAATTTCTCCTCCCCAACATAATTAAATGAGAAATAGGCCTTCGGTCTTTGGTCTTTGTCCGCAGTTCCTGGCTCAGAGCTCCTAAAACCTTGGGAATTTCCTGAATGTTGGGGTGAGAAGGGTATCTTTTGTTATTCATAATAAGCCCTTTCAACCCTACCTGAGTTTGTGCTAACCAGGTTACCCAGGGAGGAGGGAGGCTGGTTGCCTGGGAGACCAATGATGTGACTAGAGCAGTGGTTCTCAACCTGTGGGTCGCGACCCCTTTGGGGGTCGAACGACCCTTTCACAGTAGTCGCCTAAGACCATCGGAAAACACATATATTGTTTTTGTGATTAATCACTATGCTTTAATTATGTTCAATTTGTAACAATGAAATTGGGGGTCACCACAACATGAGGAACTGTATTAAAGGGTCGCAGCATTAGGAAGGTTAAGAACCAGTGGACTAAGAGGGTTGGAACTTTTAGCCCCACACTAGATCTGGGGAAATGTAGAGGGGACAGGGCACTGGAGATTGAGTTCATCACCAATGGCCAACGATTTAATCAATCATGCCTACCTAATGGGACTCCATAAAAACCTTAAGTGGTTGGGTTTGGGGAACTTCTGGAGTGAATAGTCCTGTGCGGAGGGTGGGACACCCCAACTCCACGGAGACAGAAGCTCCTGCACCACGGGCCCCATCTTCTACCCCTACCCGCCCCACCGGGCTCTATGGACCCTTCATCTGCATGTTCATTTGTAACTTTATAATAAATACCCTTTATAATAAACTGGTAATAGTAATTCTCTGAGTTCTGGGAGCTGCTATAGCAAATGATCAAACCTGAGGAGGGGGTCATGGGAACCCCTGATTTGTAGCCAGGTTGGACAGATATGTGGAAACCTGGGGGCCCACTGCTGCAATTGGGGCTGAGCACTTAACCTGTGGGGTGGGCACCAAGCCCAGGTAGATGGTGTCAGAATTGAACTGAATAGTAGGACAGCCAGCTGGTGTCTCAGAGAATGGAAGAATTATTTGATGTGGAAAACCCAACAGAAATGTCTCGAGTATCGAAACAGTCTTCCTGTAGGTCCCTTTGTTCTTTCAGGGAAGATTCCCAACACTTTCATGGTTTAGAGTTAGATTCACAAATTGACTGTCTAGTACCTTCCTGATCTTAGAGTGAATTCTGCCCACCACCCAGGAGCTACGGACCCCAGCCAAGTCAGTCCTCTGTCCTCAGAGAAACGAGTTAGCTGTGGGCCTTTTGCAGGTCGTTATCCGAAATCCTCCACCGGCAGGAGGAGAAGGGACTGGGTGATCTCACCTCAGGGAGCTTCTGATGCTAAGGAACATTTTAGGACCTTGGTCTTCCCAAACCCTCTTCCAGGAGCAGCGCTCAGTGCCCCCTGGGCCAAGCCGCCCTGGGGAGGACAGGGGCACAGGCTCACCCTGAGGAGGGGGTGATGGGAGCCCCCTGACCAGGTTGGACAGCCTCGTGCTCCCCACTGTGGACGAAGGAGCTCTTCCTCTCCCACGATGCTAAGGACTTGCAGGCCCAGCCTAGGGCACAGCAGTTTTTCTGAAGGGCCTGGAGGGAAGTGGAGTTGGAATTAGTGTACCCTGACCCCTGGCCTCCCAGGCTCCTCTTCTGTGCAGTCTGTCCCGGGCATCTCCCTGGGGCGGCTTGGCTGGCACCTGAGCTCCGCCTCCAGGGGGCCTGGCCTGGGGAGCAGGCTTATTTATTCTCTCCTGGCCCTAGGGCCTAGGCGGTGTCCTGGAAGCCCTGCTTGTTTTTACTAAGCATGCCCGAGGGATTCTCCTCCCAAGCCCAGGGCCTCCCAGATTGGAGGATGGAGGAGCGGCTCCTCTCTTTTGCTGACCGAATCTCCCCACACTGGTCAGCACTCCAGCGCTTGCCCCTGGCCCCACAGTTGCTTTCTGACACGAAACCCCTACCTCCTCAGGCAGTCCCTCAAAGAGGCCAGGAAGAGATCTGGAATGGGTGATATATTTTATTTTGTTTTATTGATATTATTTCCAGCTGGATAAAGTTAGTAAAAATTCAAAAGAGAATACAACAACAAAAAATATACATATAATTTTTTTTCTAATGAATCCATTTTAGAGTTTTATACAAAGGAGAATAAAACAAAGAATGTTGAGCTGCGGGTTAATACATAAGCCAATAATTAAAAGCTTGTAACTCAAATGGCAAAGATGCCCTTGCTAAAAAATAAAAAAATAAGGAAGTGGTGCTGAATTCATAAAATTCTAAACAGTGACTTTCCCAACGGAGCGTCTAAAATACATGTGATTCTTCATCATAGGAGTTTCCTCCGGGAGCCACCCCTCCCCTGCAGGTACATACCACAGGCGTGGCTCACAGATGAGTCTGTAAACAGTAGAAGGAGCTGTAAAAATCTGAAGTGAGGTGTAACTTGATAAGCTACTCAGATGTGCAAAATCAAGTGGGTCAGCTAAAAAGTTCACAAATGTTTACTGTGGGTTTCATTTAAGATGCCCACTACCCTCCTGCAAGAATCATTTCAACCCAGGAGGCCTCCTGGGTCTTTCTTTGGCAGAAACGGCTGCCACGTCTGCACTGTAAACTCTTGCTTCAAGTGTATTGTGAATGCACACTGACCACTAGTAAGTCCTGATGAAAAGTCACTCGATTCTTTCCCATGGAGCGGCTCCAGTAGCGGCGTGGAGGGCAGCCTGACCTGAACTGTGTTTGGTGAAACCAGAGCCAGGGCCCTCCTGCTGGCCGGGTCGGAGCCGCGCCCTGCGCCTGCCAGGTGTCCACAGGAACTCCGTGTACGACTTCTCAGAAGCCGCAGTCCAGAGGAGATTCTGATCATTTTTTTCCCACCACTTAAAACGATACCGCTCAGTTCATTCTCCAACGGGCTTTCTGGCCTATTTAAAAATAGTGTCGAAACTCCACTGCTTCTTATTTTAAAAAGGGAACACCCAGTAAATAGAATATTTTTATCTCCTCTGTCGGTCATCAAGTTCTTTGCCAAACATTGCTTTAAATCCTTTGTGAAACAGAGGACAAATAAAAAAAGAAAACAAATAAGATGGTGCCCCCCCAGGTGCATTAGCAGGAAGTCACCTTCCCAGCTCTAGCAAAGACGCCCCTGGGTGTGAGCAGGTGTGGGCGATGGGACTGACAAAAGCCCCCACATCTGTGGGCCTCTGCTGGGACCCTGAGTATGTCTTTGTCTCCTGAGCCTCCTGGATTTGCAGCTCTGAGAAGCTGAACCCCAGTCTTGATGCAGCCTTCCCCTGGGGCAGGGACACCTTGGATCTCCGTAGCCTGTGCTCTTTGAGACAATGGGCACCCCGACTGCCCGGTGGAGGTGGAATGGCACCAGAGCCAGAGGCCTCAGTCCTGTCCATGGCCAGCCCTCAGCTCCAAGTGGAAGCAAAAGGCAGTGAGGGAGGTGTCTACCCAAGGCTCTCCCACCCAGAGGTGGGGATCCTCATCCAGATGCCCAGACACTAGACACGGGGCAGCGCCACCCATGTAGGTGACTGTCACCCACACCGCCTCCTGCTGCTACAGCGAGCAAACCAGGCACACACCCTCCTGGTTGAACCTGGGACACTTCCTCTGCTTTACAGAGGAGCAACCCACGGAGCGGAGCCCTCTGAGGGGTGACGGAGGGAGACCAGCACCTTAGTCCGCCTTCAGCTCCCGTGGGGCTCTCAGGCCCCCCTGACGCTGCAGTTGAGAGTCTCTAATCGGCCTGATTTTAAGTTAATTGCCTGATTGGAGGGACGAGGGTGCCAGGAAATGAACCCTGCCCCTGGACAAAGCCCAGCTGGGTGTGCAGACCTCACGCTTCCTGCCTAGCCTCACCGAGCCCAGTGCCGCTTTGGCCACCATGCATGTCCGTCACATCTGGCTGACCTGTGCTGAGAGGAGACACCACAGCGACCTGGACCTCACCATGGACAGGGTGAAAACGGACAAACCCAGCTCTTCCTAAGCACCCAACCAAAGCTTAAATAAAAAAAGCCCTTCTTGCCCTGGCCAGTGGCTCAGTGGTTAGAGCATCAGGCTGCCCACCGAAGGGTCTCAGGTTCAATTCCGGGTCAAGGGCACATATTGGGTTGCAGGTTTAATCCCCAGCCCCAGTCTGGGTGCACAGGGGAGGCAACCAATCGACGTCTCCTCTCTCTTTCTCCCCCTCCCTTTATCCTTCCCTCCCTTCCAATCTCTCTAAAAATCAATGGGAAAAATATCCTCAGGTGAAGATTGACAACAACAACAACAACAAAAAATAAAGTAAGAAACCCTCCTGTAAATGAACATTCAAGTCAGAGAATAAAGAGGTTGCAGCACACATGAAGGAAGCTTCTCCGGGAAGAGAAGTCTAGAACATCGCTCAGAGGCAAAGGCAGCAAACATCAAGAAGTCTTCAAAACACGGAAATCCATCTTCTGCAAGAGAATAGCACCGGCAAGCGTGTGCTGGGCAGTGAGGGCTTCTGCTGAAAACCCGGGGCACACGTGTGTCCACAGAACCTGAGACGCACACGCGTTAGGGTCCAAAGACCACTCCGCGGCCCCTGAAAGTGTGTGCCCTGTGACATTAAATCTGAAAACTGGACACACGATGTGGCTCCTTGCGCCTTTTTGTTATGGAAAAAATAGCCGAGGGAAAGTCTGGAGAAAAAGCAGTCCAAGGTAGTAACAAAAATCATCTAAGGTGGTGTGGTTATGGGTGATTTTTATTTCCTTCCTTATACTGTTATACAATGTTCAAGAAATGTAGACTGAAAAGGCATTGCTGCCCTAACCAGTTTGGCTCAATGGATAGAGCGTCGGCCTGCAGACTCAAGGGTCCCAGGTGCGAGTCCGGTCAAGGGCATGCACCTTGGTTGTGGGCACATCCCCAGTAGGGGGTGTGCAGGAGGCAGCTGATTGATGTTTCTAACTCTCTATCCCTCTCCCTTCTTCTCTGTAAGAAATCAATAAAATATATTTTTAAAAAAAGAAAGAAAAGGCATTGTCTTCGTGAGTAAAGATAAATTAGAATAATAGAATGTCGCGGGCAGGGGGAGGAAACGCCCCTGTGCTTTTCAGGAGAGCAGCAAGGGGCGAGAGAGCATTGCGGCCCCGTCATTGACCGGCAGTGCCATCCAGCGTCCCTGCAGGATGTGGAGACCCCGGAGGCTGCTGTGATGACTGAGAAAGACGGAGACGGTGTGACATTGCGTTTTCCTCACCACAGCAGTTTCTAAACAAAGGCTTCCTTGGACTCGTGCACCTGCAAACACGGTGCTGAGAACGACCTTCCGATCACGCTGCAGCCTCACCTTCCTCTGTAACTGACTCGAGTATTTCCCGTGATCTGTTCTGCTCCGGCCCAGCTGGGCCCAGGTGCAGGAACAGGGTGTGCCAGAGCCTGGATCCCAATGTCCTCACTCCACCTTCCTGACCGTCATCAAGAAGGTAAAGATAGATTATCTTCCCCCGGGAGAAGCTGCGACAAACCGGAGCTCTTAGCCCTCATTCCAGGATGTGTCAGGACTGGTGTCCGGTTGGAGTCACGGCCCTCAGTCGAGGCACTCAGTGTGCGACTCCCCTGCCCAGGTCACACGCACTGGCGGCGTCTGAGTGAGGCAGGGGCCGAGGTCTGAGACCCGCCACATCCATGCCTGCCGGTGACCCGCAAGGAGACGGTGCCCTCAAAGGCCGAGCTGGCGGAGCCCCCCAAGAGCAGCCAGGACAGACACGTGCCAAGTTCAGCACCAAACCTTAAAGTGCCCAAAGTAGCACGGCTCTGTGAAAAGGTAGACATGTGTGCTTGGACGAACTCCAAGTAGAGATGCCTCACGTGAAATAAGGAACAGATCCACGGGGGGCAAAGGCTTGGTGTGCCTGGCACCTGCCTCGTCCTCGCTGTGCACAGCTCCCGGGAAGCCATGTGCACTGAGAACACGGGGCAGGCTCCACAGCACGTGCAGGCAACACGTCCGTAGTCGTGGGGTCAGTTACTGTGAGAGTGAAAGGAAACCACTGGTCCAGGGGGCTCCTTTGGAGGCAGGGAAACAGCCTGCAACCTGAGCGAGGGGCAGAAATGGAGGCATCAGACGTGCCAGTGGTCCCGACGCCGGGGGCTTCACTTTGGAAGTTCGAACGTGTCATTGGCCCTGATAACTTTGGCTCGAAACGACAAATCAAAGGACCTCTGGTCGCAGAAGCTTTGGGCTTTGTACTTTGCGAAGTGTGCTGACTTCCTCTGATGTTCGCGGTCCAATGTGCTCCTTCCTGCCCTGGAGATGTCTGGGGGCCCCTCCTGGGCTGGGACACCCGGTGTCTGGCAGCCCCCAGGCTTGGGCGTGGGCACTGCAGAGCCTTGTGTTGACTCAGGATGGACGGACGTCTGGCTCTTGTCCACCTGCAGACAGTGTTCTTCCACCTTCGGTGGCACTCCAGGTGGCCCCTGGCCACCCATGGGGGCTGGTCTCTGGGACTGCCCACTGGCACCTGGGGTAGGCGTAGGTGCCACAGCCAAGGAGTTGCCTGTGGGCCGCACCAAGTGGTGGGGTGCCATCCTGCTGGCCTGGGCCTGTGCCGGGCGCCCCTGCCGCTCTTCAGTGTGGAGACCGTGCTGCCCTGAGGGGTCCTCTACAGACTGCACCCACTGCCCTGGGGGGCGCTCTGGTCCCTTCTCAGCGTGTCGGCAAGGAGTCTCCCCACCAGCGGTTGCCCTGTCACTCCCCACCACGTCATCCTGGGGCTGTGTCTGCGCCTCTTCAGAGCCACACGAGGGGGTCTTCTGGCTTGAAGGAGGGATTCCCTTCTGACCAGGACTCTTCAGCCCCACAGGCCCTGAGACCCTCTCCTCTCCACCCCCCAGGCCTGCCTGTGACCCTGGCCGCTCTCTGACCTCCATGCCCAGCAGGACACCAGCTTGTGTGCGGGATGCAGGCAGCAGGTGTGCCTGGAGGCCGGGACACGTCTGGGGGGCCCCTTCTGCTCCTGTCGATGGCACTGAGGGCAACTGATGGGGAATGCCAGCAGTGAGAGGAAGCTGCTTTTCCCACACGACATGCTTCTCCTCCCTGGCCCGCTGCTCCTCAGGAGACGCTGGGGGCTTGTCCAAGCCGTGGCGCGAAGGCCCCTGTACGACGCCTCCTTGCGGTGTGGGGTGATGTGAGGGTGCAACCGGGGACTTCGTGCTATTCCCCCAAGGATCTGCTTGGGCAGCCGCCG